GAGAGAGAGAGAGAGAGAGAGAGAGAGAGAGAGAGAGAGAGAGAGAGAGAGAGAGAGAGAGAGAGGGGATCTGAGGGAGGGCGATCAGGTGATTGATTGATCAGTTTCGTTGATTGCTGTTGCAGTCATGATTCACACAGGATACAAAGCAGTGAGAGTATTCAAAGCAGAGAGAACATACAGGGAATGGAAGAAGATGCAAAAGAGATACAGAGGGGCTCACCACTGTTTCTGAAAGTCAGCACCAAGCATTCTGAATCTTCTCTCTGCTCATAATTTAGCTTACAGCCAAGAAGGACTTGCATAAGAGAAATCATCTTGCCATGGGCCTGCCTCTCCTGATCCACTGAGATATGATCGGCCATCAGAGCCTCTGCCCTATGGCTCTTCAGAGGGACAGCGGCATTCTCAGAAGGGTGTGTACCCTGTCCACTGGTCTTCAAAGTGTCTCCCCCAGCTCCATGCTCATGCACACTTGGCAGTGCTGTCTGCAGACCATGGGAACCGACCAGGGACCGAACAGCAAGTTCATCCAGGACCGCTGGACTCGGGTTTGATGAATTCATAATCTGCTCTGCCTCCTTTGCTCGGGCGTTTAATCGCTGGCACTTTAGCTGCAAGTCCTCAATAATCTGTGTCTGTTCAGCAACTGCCAGCGTGGACACCAGGTGCGGAAACCCCGACCACAAGCACACGATGCCACAGTTGAGGTGACACGTTGGGTTAAAAAGCTGTTTGCATCTTTCCAGAAACACCATACATATTAGTACATTACATTTCCTATTTGGGAAAATCACCAATGCATGTCCCATTGGCATTGACATGGTCAGAATGCTTCTGTGAGGGTGTAGCTGGACATACGCCCCGTACAGTTATCCAGGAGCAATTGATGTCACCTCCATTTCAACGCCAATGAGATCGAGGTTGGAGGTTACCCGAGCTGTAATAAGGGGAAACATGAAGTGTGTTTCATTATAGATTCTGATTTACCGGTGGAAAAGGAGCCGGTCTGATGCTCCCCAGCAGAGACCGGAGCCAGACCGCTAGGGCCGTTTAAAAAAAAGAAAAAAGATGTACCTGCCACCTGGACATGGAGGAAGGCAGGTGTGCTATTATGAATATGCACGAGCTGTCCGACCACAATACATAATACATAACAATAGGAGCATACTGTCCTATGTGAATTTTCTTTTTTTTTTCCTTTCGAAGAATTATTTTATTTTATCCATCTAGATTCTAGTTTTCATCTGGACTCGAACTCAGGTCCGTATTTCAACAATTCATCAGTGTACCAACTGAGTTATTAGGCCCGGTCCATGTGGATTTCGACAGTGGCTGCAAAGCATTTCACTGCATTTTTAGCTCACAGATTTCAACAACAACAACAACAACAAAAAGCAGATTTCCACATGCGCCCAACAGCATCCATCCTAGGGAGTCCCAATGTTCACAGCCACTCTTCTCCCCGAAAACTTCTTTTCACAGCCCCTGTGAGGTTCACAGTAGAACTCTCTGGTCCCTGTACGATGACGTGGCTCGGCAATCAGATTCTCTGGGACCGTCATCATTAGCCAGAGGGCCTGAAAAAAATGGACTTGATCACCATTGTTTTCCCTGAAAACTTCTTTTCACAGCCCCCCCCAGCCTCCTCCCCCAGCTAGCTTCCTTGTCTGCACATGCCATGACATGTAATTTCTCCCCTCAGCTTGGTCGAAGCAACATTTGGCACATGCGAAAATAACTCACAGCATAACCAAGCTATCCCTTGCTTCCCCCATGACCTCAGCACCTGTCGCCTCCTTCTTTTCCTTGTTCTTCTGCTTCTGCTTTTGCTTCCACAAGGAAGAAAATGGATGTGAAATGAAAAAGGGACGCAACATCATTGCCATCTGAAAAGGATTGGGAAGTGGTCCAGGACATGTAGTGCAGAAAAAAAAGATATGTTGAACTGAGCCAGTCTTGTGGATGTGAGCCTCCGGAAAAATGATAAGCGTCCTTTCCAAGGAGACTCGGGAACATGGCTTTTGGGGTTAAGGCCTTTTGAGCAAATTATGCATCCATTTCAGAAAACAATATTTGAGAAAACATGGGAGCTGCTACATTCCCTGAACTCAATCTCAGCCATGTCATTTCATTGGGCAAACTACCTTCTTCTCCTGGATACAATGGCCCAGCATCATGACTGTATCCGGACCGAAACAGGATTTGTAACTTTGTACTAATTTGTATACATTCACGATGATGGGGCGATATGTTGGGGAGAGGAAGGTACCCATCCACTTCCTCCGGTAGTACATTGTTGAGAAAAGATAAGGACTTTCTGTGTTTTTTTTTTTTTTTATAAAGGAGACTAGTAAATTCTCTCAACTTTGTCTCAGTCATTTCACAAAAAGATCCATTCCGACGCAATCTCCAAAGCTGTAGCTTCATGGTACACAGGAATTGTCGAGAAGCCGACCTGAGTTTGAGTCCTGATAGGATCAGATGAATTAAATAACTCCACAAAAAGTACCAGGAACCGAGTCCGCCAGGCTCGGGTATACTGGTGGTTTAAGGAAACGGGATGTTCGATCTAAGGTCCAGGGGTGTGGACCATTCGAGTACCCAAAGGGATCGATGTGTCCGAGTTTGTAGGGGCGTGGATAATTCAAGTCCGATCCGAGTGGTGTGCCATACCGGGCTCCTGAGGGGTTTGCCTTACTTGAGTTGAAGGGAGGTGTGTTCTATTCTGGTCTTGGGGCTAGTGACTTCTTCGATTGTGCTTGACAGTACTGTATTTGTGCATTGTTTTGGATGGATTATAGAGCTCAGCAGAGTAGTTTACTCACAGGTAGGTTTTCATGAGCGAATCAATTAGCATCTTTCAAAGAAACATCCGAAGAAGAAACATCTGAAACAATTGGTTAGGAAAACTTGCTCCAATGCATCAGAATTGATTACTCCACAAAAATGAAAGAGAGGGCAAAGTGGGTATAATTTTCAAACGGGTTCTTCTCCTCGGTCTTTCCCCAAGGATAGAACTCAGCGTCACAGTGGCGAGCCAAAACCATCAGACATATGACCATTTTAGAGAACAGGCAGCTCAAATATGAAAACAGCTGCAATTGCCGTAAATACCAAACCTCTATCAGCAAGCACACATGAAATAAACAGAAAGATGAAAACTCAGGCAGAGAACAGGACACATCCGGAATGCTGGACAGAATTGGGTGTGTGGATCAGACTGTAATAACTTCGGATGCACACCAATCAACAAAGAGAGATGGCTAGTGCAGTGCCATAACTACACACAAGGGGCAGTGCTTATTTTGGAAGATTAGATTAAGTAACGAACAAACAAAGGAAAAAACAAACAGAAGATGCGAACGTGACTTGTACTACCTCACAACTTACTTTGGAGCTCCTGGCGGTTGGTGAGATCTCTGAGATGATTATTCTCCTTCTCGATATCTTTCCATGCCAGACTGCAATAACGAGGACGAGTGACAGGGGCAGCGGGAAGGTAACATGGGGAGATGGAGGGAGGGAGGGAGGGGAAGACAGAAAAAGAGAGAAGGGGGTCAGGAGAGGGGGAGAGGGATGAAAAGAAATGGGGGGAGAGGGGAAGAGAGCAGTACACAGGGAGACAGGAGGAGAGAGAGGACGAAAGGGGAAGAGAGGGGAAGAGAGCCGAAGAGAGGGGAAGAGAGGGCAAGAGAGGGCAAGAGAGGGCAAGAGAGGGGAAGAGAGGGGAAGAGAGGGTAAGAGAGGGGAAGAGAGGGGAAGAGAGGGGAAGAGAGGGGAAGAGGGAAGAGAAAGAAGAGGGGAAGAGAGGGGAAGAGAGGGGAAGAGAGGAAGAGAGGGGAAGAGAGGGAAGAGAGGGAAGAGAGGGGAAGAGAAAGAGAGAGGACATGAGCTGAAAATGACGTGACTTAAACATCGATATCATAATTTCATACCACTTTTCAGCAATTCCAAAAGAAAAACCATGAGCTAAAAAAGGCACAAAGACAAGCCGCTTCCAGCCAAGAATCCCGTGCTGCAGCGTCACTTGCAATGACAACTACGGCAACATTTAGTTCATTTTGCACTCAGGTTCCGGCAAGAAACCCCCTTGCTCTTCTTCCTCAACCCCACTCACCTTGCGGAAGGCCTACCAGGCACGTTGGACCTGAAGAATGATATGTTAGAAAAACAGCAAGCTAGAAAGACAAGGGAGGAACATAAAAGATGTTAGAAAAACAGAAGATCCCACACAGCGGGCCAAGACTCAACAAAACACCCTCTGCTTCACTCAGTCATCCCTTGAACTCAGGATTCCCATCAAGGAGTCTCCATTAGGTTAAAAAAACACGGTAAGGACGGCGTTCATCTGCATCATGATATAGTCTCAGCTGCTCTAGATAATCAAGACTTTTTTATCGCCCTCATGGGAAGGGGGTGAAAGTGTCAAGCGGAGATAGACATTAGAAGATCAAGACTTCAGAGGTGGAATGGCGTCAGGGATGTGGGCTACTCTGACACAATCATAACCAATGCTGTCAGGGGGTCCCCCGGCCATGATGGAGGCAAACAGTACAGTCCGTATTGGACTATTATTATTATTGCATGCTTATTGAACTTGCCCTTGGAAAGGAGCTAGACTGACAATCGACATGACGGAACAAGACCAGGACCCCAAATTGTTTACTGCGCTATATTTTCTTCTATCAATTCAGCCTCCCACTAGGCCTATCCACTATTGACCCGACAAGCATCCCCGAATAATATCAGGCGGCAATCCCCATCTATGCACCACGGTTATGGGTTTAGGCAGCTAGGTTGCTTCCTTCGCGGACTCTACTCTGTGCGGGGGGTAGTACCCCCCAGAGTGAAGGATGACAGGACTCCTATTCCTGCCAAGCTCAGCTAGGGGGGGAAAGCCAAGTATCTCCATGTGTGCCACAGAGGGCCGTGGGGGATTGAATGGACGACATGGGGGAATCGAACCCACAACCTCCTGAATGCCACTTGTGCGCTCTACCAACTGAGCTAGGCCACTGGCCCAAGGACCTCAAAAGGTCTTGTATTCACGGAAAAAAAAAAAAAAAAAAAAAAAGAGGAACGCCTGTCATGTGACTGATTGTAACGCAATCCAACAGAGCATCAACAGCTTCCCATACACATGCCACGAGACAAAACAGACTTGGAGAGGGAATTCACACCACACCAGACTGAAGCTCAGCAATCAAGTGGAACTGAAGAAGACATCAATTCACGGTCCTCGCCTCTCTCCGTTTCAGTCAGCGTTACAAAGAACCCACGAATCTCAACCGAGAATAAACAACCTTGAACAAACTCAGAACAGAGCTTCAACAAGCGTCTGGAGTCTTCCTCCTTCCTCCAGTATCATCCTCCCTCCTGCTGACTATGGCACTCAGTCCGAAACACAGCGCCCAGCCCGGAGTCCTGCGGACCACAAGCACCTACCTCCTTCTGCCTCAACAGTACCCAGCACTCCTCAAAAACCATTCAGATGCCACACCACTGAGCCAGTGACCCCCGAGAGTGAACAGCTCCAGCTTCAAGATGAAGAAGGAACCTCCAGCTTGAAGAAGAAGAAGACCATTGCTGCCATGCAGAAGAAGAAGAGATGGCCGTGCCTAACTCCAACAGCACAGATATGGTGTCACCAGGCCCAGCAGCTGAAGCGCTTGCTTCACTGCTGCATGAAACCCTAGCAACGGCTTCCTAGCTCCAGTGCTGCTCCAGCAGCCTGGAAACTCCAAACAGCCATTTACCAACTGAAGACCAACAGGTCCAAGACCCCTAACACTACGAACTGACTCTAGTTACAGTTCTACTCTGAACTACCGAACTGGACTCCTGGACCTAGTACAAAGCTAACAGTTATGGGTAACAGCGGCACCGGTCCGAGGCAGTATTATAGCAACAGTGCATGTAGGCCTGAGAGTGGTTTAGGAGCAGTGGTACCGGTTTAGCAGTAGTCTAGGGAAACTTACGTAGATGTCCCTGTCGGTTTAGGCCTGTTTCAGTTACGTGTTAGGACCCAGAACTCAGAAAAATTATAAAAATGCCCCCGTTAGTGTTACAGCCCACTGAAATGCCGCAAGAACACTGCACGTCCGCGTTTGGACGATACAGAGAAGATTAGAACGGTCCCTGCCAAAGGATGGCACAGAAATCAGGAAATGGTGTAACTTTAAGAAAAGCAGAACGCTGGCATTGAAAGAGGATGGCACAGTAAATGACGATACAGTATATGTGCTGTGGCCTGAAACCGTTGTGAGTGGACCAAAAGTGCATCTTCTGTGACACTCCCACAGGCTTCTTTTGGGAGCACACGGTTTTATAACTTCTGCCAGAGCCCTTTCGATAACAAAGCTCCTGACGAGAACCCCATTACACCCAACCACCACAAGTGGGAAAACAGAACATGAGTCTGCAACCCCTGTGCCACAAAGGAGCACTAGTGCAAAACGCATCGTGGCCGCTCTGAAAGCCACAGCCCACGTTAGTTCCCCGCCCACAGCACATGCTCTCTGCGTGGGTAGGTGAATGCAACATAACAACAGTTAATAGTGCAAACTACCGGTAGCAGCACGCAGCTACAGTGCACATCAGGCAGGCAGATGTGTGGGCGATTCCCACTTGACTATATGAACAGGGAACCCTATACTTTTTTGGGTCTCTCTATGCATCTGGAACATTGTGAAAGGTTTATTTGGTGACTGTTTCGACAACACACATGCACACGCTCATGTGCTCCCAAAAACAGTGTTGCACGTAGGATTGATCTCTTCTCCATTGCCATCCACCGTGTGCGGATTTGATGCTCTACCTTCGAAGCTAGAACACACGGCATGATCAGGTTCTGGTTCATGCAGTTGTCACAAAGCCAAGAGATGTGTAGTTGAAGTAACCCTGCAACAGGAGGCCAAGCCAAGCTCGAAATTTGGAACAGATCATGAGCTCCAATCCTGGTAAATACATTACCGTAAGGGTTCAATCCCTTTCCTCAACAAGCAGGAATGAATGTCCCCATCTCCCTGGACTGAGACCTACACTACAGCTAACCGGAACCCAGCTCTGGCAGCACTGCTCCCACTGACAGCCTTCAAGCTCTCGATGACTTGTCTGAAAAGGCAGATGACAGGGACATAGGGGGGTGGAGAGTAACAGAGGTGGCAGATGCAGTTTACGGGTTTCCAGAACAACTGGCATGCGTCCATACTGACGTATAGGTTGGCATACTGCATGAGTGGTGAGCAAAGTAGGAGACTAGTACGCAAATATCCAGTGTCATGGCTACCTCCCTCCGCTGAACATAATAATGCCCCATGATCATGAACGTATTCAAACACTATTCTGAACCAAATACAGTCACAATGAGGGTGGGTGGTTGTGTTCATCAGAAAAAGTTGGTATCTTGGCAAGTGATTCTGTGAATGCTTGCTGGCCCTGTTCTCGTCCAAATCGAAACCCTGTTCCGGACACCTTCGACCTCTGAACATAATGCCCCAAGATCATGCCTTGCCGACCCTTTACTTCAGTCTTGTGCATGCTTGCTGGGTGGCTCATTCTCGCTGCAAGCTGACACGACACAGAGCAGCCACCATCTTAACCCAAATAACAATAGCTGTATTTGGGCCAACTCTCAGTCTCAGTACAGCGATAATGGCCGAGCATTCCATTCGGGGGAAGACGGTGGCAGTCATAGCCAGAAGTGTATGCTGTCAGAAGTAGGAAGCTGAGAGGAGGGGGGTGTCGGTAGTCGTCCGTGGGGAGATGAAGCGATGCCAGCAAATGGGTGTTAATCTTTAGCCATGACATTATAGAATAAATCGGGTTCAACATCAGAGACAGCCATAGGAGGAAGGTGAGCTTATGAAAGAGAGAACTGATTTTTGTAGAGCGAGGCTCCTGCAGCTGTGCTTCAGTTCTGCACACATTATTCATTGTATTTAGAAGACCGAAAAAAACATAATGTGGGGCTCTTTAAAGTTTAAACCCTCTTTCTCTTGGCTTGCTTCTTTCGCGAGTGTTTTCGTACTTTGCTAGATGAACGAATGGAACCGCTTCCCTACGTGAACTGCCTGCTGTTGACGCGTCAACCCACTTTCAGTCGCGGGTTCAAATCCCCTTATTCCCGGGATGTATGATGGTGGTG